CCATTCGGCTGTATGGAGAATTCACTGAAGATACTATATTCATCCATATACCCACATTCAGGAAGCTCTTCCTCTTCGCAGCACGACCTAGGTTTTTGTGCGTCTCCAAGACGAACTAAAGCCAACTTCACAATCAAAAGGAGAGATATGCGCTCGAGCCACGACCAGCGGTATCTTCCTATCATCACGGCCACAGATGAGTGAACCTCGAAACTCATCAACAAAAGTCTGATGAACAGCAACTTCGTAGTTGTCGCTATTGCCTGAGGAAAGAAACAAAGAGATATTTCAAAGATCCACATACAAAGGACCTAAACTGATAGGGATTAATAGCCAATTATGAACACCTGCATGGAAGGGGACTTTCTTTTTTGCCTGCCTGGATTTGATCTGTGACGTCAATTTGGGGATTTTAAATTAGGCAGTTCTTCGTATAATCCCGTTGTTTGGACTCCATATTGAAAAATGTGTCGAAAAGATAGAAAACTGGTAAAAGATATCTTCCACATTATTTACCACGTCATTTTTCTTCATACCATGGAAATCAACGCAGCTGGATTTTCACAGGTCAAGTAAACATAAAGATTGCATTCTCTTGTGATATTTGGGAGGGATTAATTCTTAAATTGTCGTGGTGATAGTAAACTGAAATGGACGTGCGTGTGCGTGTGCGTATGTGTGTATGTGTATTTATGCACATACATCTTACTCACGCAGAAATCAAAACACAGCCTTCGTGATGAAAACTTATTTATTCGGGCGGAATAAAAGAAACGATTTGCTACATATATACACGCTTTCCTTTTAAATAGAGTTTTTTTGACAGCTGTATATTTACATACATTAAATGATTCTTCAATATTCTGTCCATTAGTTTGCAAAAGAATGAATCACAATATCGGCTTTTGTATGTACTGGATTGTCATACCAACTTCGTCCAGTCAAGTGCTGTAAGCTGAATTAAAGTACACTGACAGGACCACTTAGAGTTTGATAAACTAAAGGGGGGGGGGAGGAATCCTTATTTCAAGGATATGAGGGGAAGCTAAGGGTAGCTAGCTACCTAGAAATTGAAGTGAGATGGAGTGAAAAAGCGAGACGCCTTGCTTGGTGTTTTCTTTGGCATAGCTGGTTGGAAGGTGCGATTTATTTTTTTTAAATTGACCCAGGTTGGTTTCTTACATTTTGTTTATATATATATATATATATATATATATATATATATATATATATATATATATATATATATATATAAACTGGATGTTGATATTTGAAACAAATAAGAACTCTTCAGCAATGCTTTGACTAGTGGGCCTCTTGGATTTAATTACCTGACTCAAGTGAACTAAGTGTTCTGCGACTCTTTAAGATAACGGTTATTCACTCATTTTAAGAATTAGCATATGAACATCAAGCTATTAAAATGGATTAACTGATACAGTATCATAACGAAAGTTATGTAGTATGGCATGAAAACATCGTAAATCAGGAAAGCAACAAATGTTTCCACTTACTTAAGCCACTCACACACACACACACACACAATATATATATATATATATATATATATATATATATATATATGTATATATATATGTATATATGTATATCTATATGTGCATATATATGTATATATATGGGTATATATATGTATATATATATGTAATGTATATATATGGGTATATATGTATATATATAATATGAATATATATGTATGTATATATATATATATATATATGAATATATATATAATTGCGAAATACACACGAACACACATCTGTTATATTGATATACAAAATCACAGATATGAAAATTTCATTCGTCTTTGAACTGTTCATTTCACAGATAAGAAGTCCATCGTACGATATGATGTTACATACCACGTGATAGATCTCAAAGAGTGATAGAGAGGAATTAGTAAGAATACAATTAGCACAACCATGAAATTACAAAATATGGTCGCCAACGTCATGCTCTGATACGGCAAAAAAAAAAAGAAAAAAAAAAAAAAAAAAAAAAAAACGATTAGCAGGACCGGCTGGGTAGACTGAAAAGACTTACGTCCGAGGAACTGCAGCGAACCTCTCTCACTCAGCGGCGTCGAGCACCACACTGACCCGGCCCGCTGGCTCGGCCCCCGAACCTGTGTTGGAGTCCGGCTTTCTACAGAACGTATGGCTTATCAGCACCAATCTTCTCCTATTCTCATTGCTTACATATACGTTGCTGTGTCTCGGAAATACATTCGGTCACTCTCCCCTCCCCCTCCCCCTCCCCCGTCTTCTTTCTCATGCATTTATTTACGCCTCAAATCCCTTCTCCTTCACCCGCAATGTCCTTCCAGTTCTTTCTTTTTAACACTCTCCCCTTCCTTTTTTTCTCTCCCTCATTCCCACTTCCTCTAAATCTCATTCTTCGTTCATACCTCCGTTCTCTCTCTCTCTCTCTCTCTCTCTCTCTCTCTCTATATATATATATATATATATATATATATATATAT